CCTGCATTTTAGTACAAATTGTGTGTGTTGTAGACTGAGAGATGCTAACTCTTAGTACATCTAAACTTGTACATATTTTTCCACAGAAAATTACTTTAAGATTGTTTTATACACCAAATTATGAAACACTTTGAACTAGGTTTTATAGTCAAGTATATGCATTTTATTTCTTAATAATTTAAAGATACTTGCCAAAAAGCTTTTTCTCTGTAAGACAGGCTCATCCCTTTTTTTAAAAAAGAGAGCCTAGAATTCCTAATATTCAAAGACAGACTGAGTAAGGAGTTGAATAAAACAATCTATTCATCAGTTAGAACCAGACTTTACCAAAATAAAATGTGTTTTGGAATGTGTTCAGGCAGTCCCCGGGTTACGTACAAGATAGGGACTGTAGGTTTGTTCTTAAGTTGAATCTGTATGTAAGTCGGAACTGGCGTCAGCCGCTGCTGAAACTGATCAGTTTCAACCGCGGCTGAATCTGGATGCCAGTTCTGACTTACATACAGATTCAACTTAAGAAACCCAGGCATCCCCAAGTCAGCTGCTGCTGAAACTGATCAGCGGCTGATTCCAGGAAGCCTGGGGCAGAGCACCTCTGCCTAGGGCTTCCTGTAGTCAGCCGCTGATCAGTTTCAGCAGAGGCTGAATCTGGAGCCAGTTCCGACTTACATACAAATTCAACTTAAGAACAAACCTATAGTCCCTATCTTGTACGTAACCCGGGGACTGCCTGTAGTATGGAATGTTTGGGCCACTGGATCTGCATAAATGTGGATCCCTTGACTCCTTACTCCCCATGTCCCCATTGCAGTCCTCCATGAAGACTTATGCAGTACTAACACAATGAACTATTCTGTGGTGCCTGAGAACTGTGCATTTACTGTGCCTGCAGTCCCCTCCCCCCTTTCAAATCCTATTTGGGGATTCATTGGCATCAAGGCAAGTCTGTGGGAGAACAGGGAATTGAACTGAGTTATCTCAAGTTCTAGGCTAGTATCTTAGCCATTGAGTTACCATTCTTCATCATAGTATAGCTCTGTATGTTTAATTAAGAAACACTTTGGATATTTTAATATTTATGTACCTTCTCTTAAATGTGAATCTTTGTACTTTTAAATGCTTAATTTAACATTACAGGTTGGACCTCTCTGGTCTGGCACTCTTGGCACCTGACTGGATCCAAATGAGGGAATTTGCCGGACCAGGGGAGGTCCCTTGCTACCGGCCTCCCAGCCTGCCTCTCTTCCCTGCTGCTGGCCTGAGTTGCCCTTCCCACCAGTCTGCCACAAATCTGGCCCTTGCCCCTCTGCTGGGACTGCTTCATCTCTGCCCCGCCTCTGCTACCAGGGCTGCCATAGTCCTGGCTCTGGCCCCGGTCCTGCTACTGGGGCTGCTGTGACCGTGATCAGTGGTGGTGACCCACAGAGAAAACAAAAGGATAAAAAAGAGGCTTAAAAAGGGGAGACTCTACTGAGGGATCATAACAGCAAGTTCACTAAGATGGTGTTTAAGAATGCCACATCTCATAATTTTGCATACTTGGTAACTGAAATATCAGAAGAAAATCAGATTTAATATAATTTTATTCCCATAATAGCATTTGAAAATGTAATGAATAATAAACATAGATATTACAAACCTCATGCATATGCCAGATGTAGGTGGGAGCTGGGAAGCCATGCATTTGGGATTTTTTTTTCTTTTTGAGAAGAAGGGAGAGGGTCCTGCATGTTCATTCCTACCCCACTTAGGTAAAGAGATTTGCATATTATGCTCATCGCCATCCTATTTATTTGTATATAATACGTATATACACTTATTTTACTTTTGTATTTTGTAATATTTAAGCTTAAAGAATTGAAGAAGCAGTCCAAAATAAACAGATGAGTTCAGAAAGAAAAACATCACTAAATGAGATTAGTTATTCTCATGAACAAAATAAACATTGTGGCAGAGAAATTACCTATCATGATTTATTTCTTGATATCTTTGGTGATTATGGAGGTTAATGTTTATGGAGCTCAAGTGAGAATGAAGTATGTAATCTAGGTGTTAGGAATGTTTTTATTAATCCTGGAAATCCACTGCGTTGTAATTTTCTCTTTTAAAATTAGGTTTACATCACATCAGTCACTATGTCATTTTCAGTAGCAAAACTTGGTCAATGTTGAACACAGATTTCCCGTTCTCTATTTACTTCACCTGTTGAAATGCAAAGGGAAACAAATCAGGAAAACAACTCTAGTGGTATAAAATTCTTCCTCATTTCTGATCATTCTCAGAAGAAAATGTGCTGCTGAAGCAAAGATTTGATATTTCTTCTCCTCTTCATCTAGAGAAATACTTGAGTTGCCTTATATTGCTGTCTCTTAATCTCATATTGAAAACGTATCTTAAATGGCAATTTTTAGTGCAATTAATAATTTTTTATTTATTGCTGTCATTGGCATATTTACCTTTTACTTGACTGTGTCAGACCTACCTATATTCCTTCACCTTACATCAGTGTGGGGCAGCCTAGGCTATGAGTGGGCCTCATGAGTGGTCTTCCATCTTAGTGGGCTGGAAGATTGTCATAACCAAGATGGTCTCTCAGAAGAGGGTAGTTTTGCTAACTGCACTTGCTTACCTAGCATTTGCAGGGTGTGCTGATTGAACCATAGCAGCTCTTTGATTGGATGCAGAGGGAGCACCCGGCCCTAATAGTCAATGTTGTGGGCAATCAGCACGCACCTCACTTCAAGTGCCCCTGCTTTAAGTTTATGTCACTTGTGTAATACCAGTAGGGAAAAAACTACATGGATGAAAACCAGCAGAATCTGGCAATTCTGTGTATGGGCAACACTAAACAAACTGTCTTGTGAGCCACACACACAATCCCAATGGGCTGCATGCGGCCCATGGGCCACAGGTTGCCTACCACTGCTCTGTTCCCTAATTAGTTTCCTATAATCATACTTGCCAACAGAACAGTTGCAGAACAAAAGTGTAGCATGGCAGGCTCCTCCTATCTCAAGAAGCATAAGATATGCAACTGTCTATAGCTGGTTGTGGCTTCAACCACATCCCTTGTCTATGAGATCACTTGAATGTTGTAATCTCCACTGTACTAACTAGTAATGTAAAAGTTTAACTGGTCATCTGATAAGCTTGATGCTCACCAGTTTCAGTTAATAATTAAACTCAGCACCCAGGAACCCAATACTGGACTGGCAAGTGGCAGCAGAGCTCCAGATGTGGAGCCAGGAATTAGGGTCCTCGGGTGCTGGGCCAGCAGCCAGGATGCAAGGCATCAGCAGAGCCCCTGGATGTGGGGTGGCAGTGGTGTTCTATGTTTGTTGGCAGCAGAGACATTAGTGCAGAGCTGGCAGCGGGAATCCCCAGACATGGAGCCAATATGTTGGATGCACTGGGATGGAGGGTGGCAGCAGAGCCTCCGGGTGTGGGTCCAGCAGGTGGAATCCTGTGGAAAACGTGAGGGGTATGTTGCAGCACCCCCATGTTGTTAGTTCCCTGGTTCAATGTTTAACCAATAGATTTTTAATAGGTTACACAGTTATTGTTTTTATGGGTTATTTACATCCCCACGACTCATATGGAATTTAAATAGTTTTTCTTAGAATTTCAAATTACTGAATACGTTACCCCCAAAATGTTTCTCAGTAAGAAAATTCTATAAATTTGACATGCATTTCAAACAGTTTGTGCTTTTCAGGGTCACTGATGTACAGAGTGGAATTCCTGCTAACGTAGCAATGATTGTACAAAGAGTGGTGTTGAACTCACGTCCTGGTATGTATTTCTAACAAAGATCAGTGAATTTTGTATAATTGCACAATACTCGTAAATGGAGAGGAAATGGAGGAAAGTAATGAGATCTTTACAGAAAGTAACATGCAGTAAAAAGAGGTTTATAATAAAGTGTATTTGAGCCTGTATATGTAGTCTTGCAATTGTTAGGCAAAAAAGAAAACCGTATATATGTATCACGGAATTAGGTGAAACGTTAGTGACTCAGTTGTAGTAGCCAAGTTATGCTATCATTTACTGCTTTTTAGCTTTAAAATTTCTAATTTTACTTTGCTGTTTGTAATTGACTCTGAGATGATTGAAAATAAAATGTTTCTCTGCTGACTTTTGTCCTTTCCTTTTGGCAAACTTTGAATCTCTGCTTCCTCTCATGTTTCTAAGGAGCTTGAAATTTACATGGCTTCCATTGTTATTTATTTCTTAGCTTATGCACTTGCATCACTGTACATGTCAGAACAACTCTAGGAATAGTGTTTGTTAGTTAACGGCTGATGCAGAACAAGTCAAAATGTTAATGTTTTTGGATGTCATTGTTTCTCAATTTGGAAATAGTTTTTGCAGGTAAAAGCAACTGGTATTTCCTGTAAAATGGTGTTTCTCTCAAATGAATGAAGGATCCATAACCTAAATTTTTGTAGTTAATGTAAAAAATGGCCCCAATTCTTAGATCTGGCTGACCTGTACTTAGCACAGATCCTGCAGAGACGCTCCCCAATTCTGGGAATTACCACAGTATCTAGACTTCTCTAATTTAAGCACAATTGCTTATGGCTATTGTGGCATTGAGGAATATCTAAAGCATACAGGCATTATGGCCGTGCTATCTTTTCCCTGGGCAAGACTTCTGTGTCAAGGGAGGCCACAAAGGGTAGTAGTACAGAGTCCAGCTGACCAGATCATGTTTCTGGAAGTGGTACAGATAGCCTGTATCAGACTAGAGAATGTGGCCCAGTGTCACAGAAGTATGTCTGTACTTTCGTGTTTTAGAGTGATGGGCTAATCAGAACCTTGACACTAAACAAGTATGTCATTGTCTTGGAGAAATAAAAACAACTCTGTTTATATTAGCCAATTTTGGATTAGATCCATTTATCTAATCTGTCTTGGCAAAACTTTATAGATCTAGGGGCCTGCTCAGAGCTAAGAAATGGCATTGGTTTGCTAACCCGGTTGTTCAAACTGTGATGCAGCGAAGTGAATTTATGTATAAAAATTAACATATATAAATATTTTGAGGCAGAAAATTTATTCATCTCAGCTATAACATGTCTTTTAATAAACCATGTTAAATGAATAACATTAGCATATTTTTTTCTTAATTATTCTTGACAATTTCAGAATGAAAAACATAAAAACAGCATAATTCTCTCATTACACAGGTGCAATACAGTAGAATTGCATGTGAGTAACTTAGAGCAAAATTAGGCACCGTGGGTCTGATTACTTTTTCACTTACACCAGTGCAAATTAGGAGTAATTCCATTGCCATAAATGGAGTTTGAAATTGTCCTCTGCAGGCATTGATGTTTACATCCCACTTAAATAAATGGGTTGCAGAAAAGGTAAATTTACCTTTTCTACAGTTTGTATGTGGCTAAACACCATTCTGCAAGGCAAACTGATTTAGGTTGCCAACCCTGTCTTTGTAACAAAAAATAAACTGTAGAACTAGAAGAAGAAATATTATTTTTGTTTTGCTTCCTATGAAACAGACTAATTTGGAAAATTGATCTAAGAATAAAAAGACTAAGAAGAATTAATTTATTGCCAGGTTGAATTTTTTAGCCTTCAATTTGTTAAATGTACATTCTGTGCAAAGTTATGTGCTATATTTTAAAAAGTATTCTTGTTAATCTTTTTTACTAATATGAGAAAATGCAGTGTTACATGTGAGCATCATAATTCAGTCCAAAAAAGTTATAAATGTGATGCTGCAAACACTAAGACTTATGTATTTGAACATAAGTAATGTTAGTGCTGGACTGTGCAATGGTACATCTATCCTAGTATTCTGTCTTCCATCTGTGAAGTTAAGATGCATGCATGGACCAGGGTTTTCACAACTCTGCAAAATGAACTAAAAGTCAGTTTCTTCCTTGCTGAAAAGACCCTTGGAAACTTGTTTATTTCTTTTGTTTCAAAGAAATAAACAATCAAGACATATCATGTAAGAATGCTATGTCAAATTGGAATTTTGTGAACCTGTCTATTAAAAAGTCAAGTTATTTACTAAAACAGGAAGCAGTACATTAAATAAAAAGGCCTCCAATTTAAAAAAAATAAAGTTAAAGCAAAGGTTTATCACTGATTCATTTAGATTTTTTTGCTTCACTTTAAAATATTTCTAGGTAAAAATGGTGTGCCTGTGGCAGAAAACTTCCGAATGGAAACAGTCACTCTACCAGATAAAATCACAGATGGACAGGTACGAGCTAGAACCCTGTACCTCTCAGTGGACCCTTACATGGTAAGTGAAGGAAATGAGGCAATGTCAGAGTCTTTAAAAATGATTTTACCTCAATGCAAACTGTGATATTTAGTGTGAACTGCACAAACTATAAGCCAAACTTATCCCTAATATAACTTCATTCACTTATGTGGAGTTATATCAGGGTTAATTTGGCATTAAGGTGCCTGTGGCTTATATAGATTTTTATCATCTGTCCATCCCTTCAGCTATCAATTGATTGATCGCTATCCAGTCATGGGAAGTGACAGAAGTATGAGTGACTAGCATAAACCACAGAAGTCACAGAAGACCCCTGGGGGGGGCTGCTTTCTGATGTGCTGATAAAGCCACTGACACTTGCCTTCTTGCTCTCTGGGGCTCCTCACCACCCTGTCCTGTTAGGCCAGATCTCTTGGTCTCCCCCAGACTAGGCACAGAGCTGCGATACTACCCCTCCCAAAGAGCAATGCAGATACTGAATCTCTTCAGCTCTGGGAGAGTGCAGTTTAGGGCACAGCATCTAGGGAAACCAACCCCCCAAATGGGATAAAAACCCAAATAAAGCATACTGTGTGAGAGTTTGACGTGTTAAACACTCATTCGGATAAGCCCCCCATTAACAATGAAAGGAGGATGTGCACACTGATTGTTCCCCCAAGTAACACTTATTTACACTGGGTTTGATAGTAAATAAAAGTAACGTTATTAAGTGCGAACAGTAGGATTTAAGTGGTTGCAAGAGAAAACATGCAAATGAAGGTAAGTTACCGAATCAAATAAAAGAAAATGTATAGCTAGTTCTAATACATTAAAGCTTATTGCAAACTTAACCTAAAACAGTTCTCATTTCAGGCAGGCCTTCAAGTCAGAAAAGATCTTTTACTGTGCCTTGGATCTTCAGCCAAAGAGAAAGAGACTGATCTCTTTGCAGTTTAAATAGACTTCCTTTTGAACAGGAATCCTGTGTGCTCCATTCTCTGTTCCCTGGAAAATTACTTGGTTAAACTGATATATTTGCTTTGGCAGCACATATATTAATTGGCATGGTCACATGTCTTTCCAAGACCAACCACTGATCAAATTTAAGAGACAAAACTAGGCTGTTTACAGGTTATTAAGTTGCTCACCCAGTCATTAAGGTTGCCAGAGTATTTGAAACACCCTTGGTGGTTTTCATTTGCACATTTAAAGCCATAAATAATTCAATACTCCATATTTCTAACTTTACATACAAGAATGATACATACACCAAAATCAGATGTATAGGTCCAGGATACTGTGACAGTAACATTAATAGATTACAATTTCATACAGCATGAGGGGGAACCATCACATCCTGGTATTCATAAAAAGTAGTCAGCACAACCAAGAATCTCAGAGGTATTTAGGGCTGAACTCTATGGGAGTACTCTGTCTAAATATCTGTGAAGATCTGGACCTTATTTTCAAGCACAAAATTAGTACACTTTAATTCTATTTAGTCATCCAGTTTTTACTTACTTATATGGTGCTAAATGTTCCTCTGCTCTGCATGGAGTAGCAGGGAACAAAGAAGAAACTGAGGCGGGACCAGTGGGGCTATCTCAGAGGACGCATGAGATGTGAAAATGACCTTCAGGTTGCTGTCATTCGCCTCTTGTTGTTTCATACCCTAGATATAGATGCAGGTTAGAGTGAGTCCCAAGACCCAGGTAGTTGTGCTGGATTCTTTGGTGGGCTGGCAGCAGTAACTGCTGGCTTTTCTATTAGAATTTCTGCCATATTAACAATAGAAGGAGGCAGCAGCTGCACCATCAACCACCCAATCTGCCCCTTCTGGGAGCTAATAAGTGATGTGGAGTAAAAAGATTTGTGGGAAATGTAAAAGATGGGAGCCTTCCTGTCCCTCAAGAGCCAAGCTGCTGTTCCTGCAGCAATTTATGATTCAGCATCCACTTTTCATGCTCAGTTTCTATTGGGAAAAAATTAATTTATCATCTGATAGGGAAACTGAACTCAAGTGGCCCAGATATTTTCAGAAAAGGAGGAATTAAGAAATTGTCTTCAAAACAACCATGACATTTCATATTAAACCCACAGTATCTTAAATCAGCCATTCTGGGGTCTGTGTTGGTGACCTTCTAATAATGGTTTTCATGGTCACATAGGGTTTGTCTAAACTACATGGCTCCATCGACGGAGCCATGTAGATTTGTTTGTTCGGCAAAGGGAAATGAAGCCGTGATTTAAATAATCGCAGCTTCATTAAATTTAAATGACTGCTTGTCTGAGCCAACAAACAGCTGATCAGCTGTTTGTCAGCTCAGTGCGCTAGTCTGGACGCTCCCCTGTCGACATGAAAGCCCTTTATTGACCTCCCCGGTAAACCTCATCCTAGGAGGCATAAGGGGGAGGTCGATAAAGGGCTTTCAGGTCGGCACGGGAGCATCCAGACGCGCTGAGCCGACAAACAGCTGATCAGCTGTTTGTCCGCTCAGCGCGGCAGCCATGTACATTTAAATGAAGCCGCGATTATTTAAATCGCGGCTTCTTTTCCCTCTGCCGATCAGCCTAATCTACATGGCTCCATCAATGGAGCCATGTAGTTTAGACACACCCATAGGAGTCCTAGGTTTGATAATTGGTCCTGGGGTTTTAATTCCTGGTCTGGTAGTTGGTATGATTATCCAAGCACAGCATTCTTAGCCCCGTGTAGTGGAGGAGTACCCCATGTATCTCCATAAAGTTCTCTTCATCCAATTAAGTAGTACTGATTGAGTTAGAAGACAATCTTAAGAAGTCCTTGGCTAGAAGTTTGTTGGTGGTGTGATGCTTTCAAGCTGTTTATTTGTGGTGACATTGTGAAAATAAAATGTTCTCCCTTTTGTATCTAAGTGCATGAATGAAAGGAGAAATAAAGAACATAGAAAAGAAGGTGAAAGTGGAGTTGTTATTTAAAGTTTTTGGAGTTGTGCTCAGTTAAGTGCATTCAATACCAAAGTAACTGAACATGTAAAAAGAAGCTCGTGCATCATCGTGCAAGAATTTCTTTATTAGAGCCTTGCTTTTTAGCGCTGCCGCATGAATGAAGACACAGGTTCTGATTACCTCCTGCCCTGGCAGTTGTCTGAGGTTGTTGATGGTGGGGGCATTGGTATTGTGGAGGAGAGCAAACAAGCTAACTTGGCTGAAGGAGATATTGTAACTTCTTTCAACTGGCCCTGGCAGACCAAGATCATTTTAGATGGAAGACTCCTCCAAAAGGTAACATACTGAGCTGTAGCAAATTAAGTTAGTATATATATATTGTTTTTCTCCATTCATTTTTTTTGTTTGTGTGTAACAATTGATTATATTATTTCTTGGATACATCAAGGATAAAACAGTGCTAATAAAGCAACCAGTTACTTCAAAGCTGTTTGTGTGTGACAATTGATTATATTATTTCTTGGAAACATCAAGGATAAAGCAGTGCTAATAAAGCAACCAGTTACTTCAAAGCAGATCAAATTATGTATGGCAAAGTCTAAACTGAGTTCTCTTTTTCTTGTAAGAGGCCATTAGGAATTCCTTTTCTTGTCATTGAGCAATCCAATGTTGATGAAATTGTTTAATTCATCAGCAGTTTCTCTGAGGCTGTTATAAAGGTTTGTCCATTAATCATGCAGAGTCAAAGTAGAGCCAGACCCACCAACAGGGTGGCAAAAGGAGCAGTTGCCCAGGGGCCCGGGCCACTTAAAAAGGGGTGGGGGCTCCAGCCCTGCAGGAAGTATTCCAGTGCTTCCTGGCTGATTAACAGAACACAATCTGCAGCATGTGTTCAGGTGTCCCTCTGCTTCTGTACCCCATCTCTTACAAGGGTGGAGGGTATAGACACAGCTTCTCAGAAGGACTTGAGTTGGACGGAGCTTACTGCATGCAATTAAGGGTGAGCTGTATGAGTGACTGCCTGCCTTGCTTGATTTCCCCAGCAGCCTGTTCTTTCTTTCTCTGACACTCACTGCCACTCCCACATACACTCCTTCTTTTTCTCCTGTCCATCTGTTGGACACACACACACACTGTCCTGTTGTTATGTTTTGGTGCTTCCTACAGTGCACACATATTCTATGTACTTTTATTCTTTTAAAGTGTGTTATTTTAGTGTTTTGGCTGGTCTATACATTTCATGATTTTTATTTTTCTTGCATTTTAAATCGAATTCTTTGAGTAGTGAGTTGTAAAATGCATGAACTCTAGTGAGTTGTAAAATGCATGTAATTATCTCTATGCTAATTTTTTAAAATATATATTATAGCTAGGTGGCTTTTTTTTTGTTTGTTTCTACTGGTCGTGCAGATCTACACATATGTTGGTGCACATACAATTTATTGTTCACAGGATGAGAAAAAATAGGAAACATGCCAGCAGCTAGCTGGCAGAAGTTTGCAGGGCTCCAGCAGCACAGGTACAGCACCACCCAAATGTCAGGCAGACCTCGTCATAAAAGGCTCATTGAATATTCTGCCCTGAGTCCTGGAATTGCTGCCAATGGGCCTATTAGAATTTTTTCACACCTGATCACCAATGTGTCTTACTACTATGTTCTTAACACATTTTATATTAAAAACAAAAAACAAACATTAGTGAAACCTTGTAAAATCTCAAGCACACCCACAAAAGGAAGGCTATTCAAAGTCACAGTTCTTTAATGGCTATAACTTGGCCCTCTGCACATACAATATTTAATGTAGTGCATATTTATTATAGACAGTAAACATCTGAAACTTGAGATAGAACTTGGCTTTCTGGAAACATTTGTTTTAGGACTATTTGTGTCATTGACGCAATTACAAGATACAGCAAATCTGTGGTAACATTCTTCGTCAGCATGGGTGTAGTAGTTCAACATTGCTAACTGTTTTCTGTTTCCAGACCAGTATTTGACAATAGCATATTTTTACATTTTTACCACCTAATTGCTAAAAATCCTTAGGTCTCTTGTGAGTGACTTTTTGTTTAAAGCATTTTGGAAAAAAATCCTATTTATCTTCCACTTTTTTGTAACCTTATTTTTGAAGTATTATAGTAAGTCCGACAGTTATTATATAGCTGGCTTTTCAATACTTGTTTATACTTTGTCAGAAAATATCTCAGATGTTTAGTTCAATCTGTGTGGTCATCCTAAAATCTGCAGTCAACAAATAGTAATCCAAAATCTAATTTTCATATTTTTTCTTGCTTAGCTTAATCCACAGTTTGTTGATGGACACCTCTCCTACTTTCTTGGTGCAGCTGGCATTACTGGACTGACCTCTTTTCTAGGAATAAAAGAGAAGGGACATGTGACTCCAGGTGCCAATCAGACAATGGTTGTCAGTGGGGCTGCTGGTGCCTGTGGTTCTTTGGCTGGTCAGGTAAACAAATTTAAGGTTTGCAAAAGAATGAGGTGTTACTTCTAAATTCTGTTTTGTTGCAAGAAAGCACATCTCACTCCTCAGATTTCTTCAGTCACACTCATTTGCTAATTTTACCTGTAAATTAGGCTCACAGTCAACAGTGGGGATCATGCTGAGTGTATTTAGGTGTAGAATGGGTGGACAGCCTATGGCACATGTGCCATAAGTGACTTGGCAGCTGATTTTGAGTGGCATGAGCTGGGGCAGCTCCCCCCCCACCAGCAGCTGGAGCCTTGCAGTTGCCATACAGCTCTGCAAGTTGGCCTACAGCTCTAGCAACTCTGGCTTCCTGCTAGAAGGGCAAGGGGGGAAGGGGCGGAGGAGGCGTGAGTGTGTAGGGGCCAGGGTGGCCCAGCAAGCAGATCAGATGGCATGACTCTGTATTGGGCTCCGTGTCCCTGGGGCTGCCCGTGCCTAGCTTGGGTGTGAAGCTCCCAAGAGCTAAGGGGTTAACACACACACCCTCGCTATAAGCTCTGCTGCCTGGTCTGGGAGGAGAGGTGGCAGGGCTCTGGTTGCTCTGCAGATCCGGGGCTGCGCGCCTGGTCACAAGCTGCTGCTGCCTCTGTGGGCTGCTGAGGCCCAGGCTGTGCCATACTGCTCCCTGCGAAGTGTGTGCAGGGGCACGGAGCCCCTTCCTCAGCACCTGGCTGGGCTGCAACCAGCTTCAAGTAGCCCCGGGCTCTGCTTGCCCCTCTCCCAGAGCAGCTGCCTGTAGGTAAGGGGCGAGCCCCAGCAACCAGGCATGATAGTTACTGTTCCCCCCACTCCCGGCCAGTCCCTCCTTACCCAAGCGCTGCCCCCCTGGTGGCTGTGAGTTCTAGCACTGCTGCCCTGTTGGTGTGCACAGACAGGCCACGGAGATGTGGGAGGTGGGTGTGAAGGAGGATACAGGGGCAGGGGTGGCACTGAGGTGAGGGATGGGGCAATGCAGGGGGATCAGGCTGCAGGGGCAGGATGTGAGGGGGTAGAGGTTTCACTGAGGGGCATGGGGAGATGGAAGAGATCAGGCTGGTAGTGGGGGGGGATCATGGGGCTGAGCGGAGCAAGTTGGAGCAGAGGAAAGATGTGGGGGGGATACAATTTTACTTTGCAGTTGTAGTACTTTCCTTTACTCCCCACTTCTTTGCCTCCCTCCCCAGCTAGCTATTTGGTTACGTTCTCACCCTTTCACCTTTTCTGCATTACTCTCTCAACCTCCTCCCACCTCCAAACTTCCTCTCATAGCCGTACCCCACACCCTCTCCTGCTGCCAAACCCCCTTCCAAATCCTGTACCCCACCTCCCTCCCAGATCCCACATCCCTATCTCACTCACTAGCAGCCCTGTCCCACACATTGAACCCCTCATTTTTATCCCCACCCCAGAGCCTATGGAGGTCCACAAAATCCACTAACTCTGGAACCCCAGAAAAATAAATCTGGCCTATGGGAAGCTTGAACCTCAGTCCTCCCTGTCCCTTCCCCTCACCCTGTCAGGCTGGAGTGTCTCAGTTGGAGGCCACATCAATAAGCTTTGGGAGTTTTGGGAGTAGTGTGGGTTTTTTTTTTGCTTCTCACGCGGGTGGTCCCCAACAAATTTTTCTGTGGGTCACTGGTACCCGACGCAAAAAATGTTCCCCATCCCTGCCATAAATGAAGAAAACATGGAAACCTTTTGTGTTAGACATAATATTTTACTTAGTTTATCAAACTTAATTTTAAATCAACATGAGAAAGTTAAAATGCTTAATCTGTTTAATAATTTAAATTAAAATATTCTTCCTAGTTACAGCTGGTTCAGAAAATATGGTCACCATACCCAGTCTTTCCCAGCCTGTCCCTGCCCCTCCCCCCAACACACAGATCTGTAAATAGAAGTGAATATGTTAAACCTTGGCACATCACTTCTGAAAGGTTGTTGACCCCAGTGTAGAACTTCAGATTCTTGAAACTGTGAGGGAAGGAGAAGTTGGGTATGATGATTACTCTTTGTCACTGGTTTGAAAGTAAACTGATTTTTTTCATAATAATCTGCCACCAACTTCTAGTTGCCCACCTGTTTGCTTAATACTCTGATTTTCATGTAGAAAAATATTTTACCAGATTTTTATTAGGGATGTGAAAAATGTTCAGTGTTACACACAGGCTCCTGGTAAAATTTCAATGGTTATACAGTTACAATGTGGGATGGCAGTTAGCTCCTGGAAGCCACCGACTGCCCCATGGTGCTTCCTCTGCATTAGAGGCAGCAGCACAGGGGGGCAGACGGGAACCGGTACGTGTGATGAGACGGCTTAAAAGATGGCTCTCCATGCGTACCGACTTCCGGGGAGACAACTGCCATCCCACGTTTAACTACTGAAATTTTCAGCGGTTACATGGGTACTTAATTACACTCATTTTAACATCCCTGATTTTTATAGTGTTTAGTTGTCACTTATGGACTTTGGAATGTTATGATAACATACACTCTTACCAATGTTGTGTACAAGGCTACTGGAATCAGCTGTTTTTAGGGGGGGGCAAGGCAATCCTCTGCATTAGGTCCTGCCCCTGTTCCCTCCTTTTACTATCCTCACCTTTTGCCCATCTCCACGCCCACCTCCACCCTCCACTCGGTGCAATCCAGAAGATTGCCAAGGGGCTTGGTGTGGAGTGGTAGACGGGGTTGGTTCTCCCCTGCATTCACTGCGGTGGCAGGAGCCACAGGATGTAGAGCGACCCAGCAGCCTGCTCCACTCCACTGCCCCTCTTCCAACTGGGTTGTTCTGTGACTGCCCCGAACCATCCTATGAACAGGACAGCTCTGACTGGAATATTAATCCATTCAACCCTCCATCAGGATGATTTGGCCAGTGAAAAACATAATAAATACTTTCATATGTTGTTTTGGATAAAATTACATAAGACTGGCCAAATTAAGTCAGACTAATGGTGCATCTAGTCTGGTATCCTGTCTTTTGACAGTGGCTGAAGCTAAATGCTTCAGAGCTAATGAACAGAACAAACCAATTATTGAGTGAGCCATCCCTTGTTATCCAGTTCCAGTATCAGGCAATCTAGAGCATAGAGTTGTGACCCTGGCCACCTGGTTAATAGCCATTGATGGGCCTATCCATTCTTTGTTTTATTGGTATACAGTTCTCTAAAAAGGTAGTAATATTATTTATCCATCCAGGCTTTGCACAGTAAGGAATATACATAGTGTCCAACAAATAAACTGTAAACAAAAGTCCAATTCAGACAGAAACCATTACACCACAGCATTTGAACAAGTATATACAATTAGAGTATATTTAAATTTTGATGTTTTTCAGTTTTTTTATGGGAGGGGAAATGTTGATTGACATTTGGCAGTCTTAAATTGTATCCAGATCCCACACTACTGGTGCCTGTAATTCTGCTGGTTAAAAATCTAGTGATTACTGAAATGTGGTCGGATTGATGACCTCACTGTTCTGTTTATGTTGTTTCTGCAGATTGGCCGCCTGGAGGGCTGCTCTAGAGTGGTAGGAATCTGTGGTACAGATGAGAAGTGCTCCATTTTGGTCTCAGAAATGGGGTTTGATGCAGCTATCAATTACAAGAAGGGGAATGTGTCAGAGCAGCTGCATGAACTCTGCCCAGCTGGTGTGGATGTTTACTTTGACAATGTTGGTGGAGACATCAGTGATGCAGTTATAAATCAGGTGCCTATACCAGCTGTCCTGTTATACGCCTCTCCCTCCCAAAGTTTTCATGAATCTTTCTGGGATTTGGTGGACCAGCGTCTACCACAGGAGTTAGAGGCTATTTTTGCTGAGGCTATTTTGTTGTTGGGCCAGAATGCAGGAAAACTTTTTTTTAATTTTAAAACTTGGACTGTGGCAAGGAGGTGTAATGTACAGCACTCCACATGCATAGATGGGGAAGGGAATTAATCTTTTAATGAGTGAGAGAGAGACTGCATTGACACTCTCTTCTTAACTCCTATTTCACAAGTAAAATGAGTAGAAAACTCACACTTACTAATTGTGTAAGACTGCAGAACAGAACAGAATCATGGATTGGTTTTTATTTTGCATTACACAGCCGAGTATTTGTTGTTGTTCCTCGAGGCTGTCCCTGTGGGTGCTCCACCTTAGTGAGTGTTGTTGTTCCTCGAGGCTGTCCCTGTGGGTGCTCCACCTTAGGTGTTTGGGCGCCCTGCATGCCCAGCTGGAAGATTTGTATAGCAGTGCTTTAGCTAGGCTGTTTGCACATGTGCAGCAATCCTGATGCAGAAATGGCTAATGTGCATGCACGAACCCCGATCCCTTCAGTTCCTTCTCTGCCGCCTCTGGCACTGGTCAGAACCTACAGTGCGCTCTGCATTGAGCTCCTTATTTAGATAGATAACGTACATTTTAGAGTTTTAGTCCAGCTTAGCTTTAAAATAATTCCAAGCCTGTTCTGTCCCCTGTAGGAGCTCCGGATGAGAGCTTGCTGGAGCCACAATCACCCACTGTGCCCCAAGGGTCCCAAGACCTGGCTTCAATGCCAAAACAGGCTAGCAAGCCTAAGCCTCTGGTGGCACAAAAGCTCAAGGCAGCTATTGCACCACCTGCACAGACCTCGTGCTCTGCCTCTGATAAAAATAGCGGGTTGACTAAAGCCCCACACTTGACTCTGCCAGCATGTGTACCCACCCCGCGCCCTAGCAAGGCAAAAGGCGACGCTTCTCCGCTTGGTCCCAAAGAAATGGCCTCGATGCAGCCTCAGCTCCACTTCCTGAGATCCTGCAATATATCATTGAACGTAAGAATTTGGGCCTCTTCCTGAGCTCCTTTAAAGTCCACCTCGCTGCAATCACAGCTCTACACCAACCATTAGACAATACATTGGAGTTCAAACATGCTGTAACTAAAAGATTTCTCAAAGGGCTGCGAAACACCTACCCCTCCCCCCCGTCAATCCACCGGTTCCCAACTAGGACCTCAGTCTCATTCTTAGGGCCCTAACCAGAAAGTCCTTCAAACCAATGGCAACATGCTCGCTACTCCACTTCTGCATGAAGGTGGCCTTTCTGGTGGCCATAACACTTGCCAGATGGGTGGGAGAAATTGCAGCCCTCATGATGAACCCAACTTTTATGGTCTTCCATAAAGAGAAGGTGGTACTTAGGCCTCACCCAAAATTCTTGCCAAAGGTCTCCTCAGCGTTCCACTGCAATGAGCCTATGAGCTTACCCAAACCCCATGACAACAAGACGCAGGCAACTCTTCATACCCTTGATTTCCACAGGGCCATTGCATTCTACATAGATAGAACCACACAAATCCACAAAACCAACAGATTGTTCATTTTGAATACGCAGCCATCTCTGGGGCTTCCTATCTTCTCTGAGACTCTCCAGATGGATATTGGAATTCATAAGACTGGCTTACTCAGCCTTTGGCAAAGATCTGCCTACACAACTCCGTGCACACTCCACCACAGCCATGACTGCATCAACTGCATATATCCAGGGCATCCCCCTAGTAGATATTTGCAAATCAGCAACCTGGTCATCCACCCATACTTTCGCGACCTACTACGCACTCGACACATACCCTTCTAGGGGAACCCTTTTTAGTCATTCCATCCTGACGTCTGTCCATATAGACACTATGCTGACTGAAGCACCTACCTCCAGTGGACACACTGCTTCATAGTCACCTAAGGTGGAGCACCCACAAGGACAGTCTCGAAGAAGAGAGGGTTACTCACCTTCTGCAGTAACTGAAGTTCTTTGAGATGGGTGTCCCTGGGGTGCTCCACCACCTGCCCTTCCTCCTTTCTGCTTCAGGACATCCTCTCACGTGCCTATCGGGGTAGAGAAGGAACTGAAGGGATCGGGGTTAGTGCATGCACATTAGCTGCTTGTGAGTCAGGATTGCTGCGCATGTGCAAACAGCTTAGTTAAAACACTGCTATACAAATCTTCCAGCTGGATACATGGGGCACCCAAACACCTTAGGTGGAGCACCCAGAGGGACACCCATCTCGAAGAACTTCAGTTGCTGCAGAGGGTGAGTAACCCTCTCTTCTTCCTTCCACAGCGAACATCCCCACTCTGTAAAGTAACACCACCTCATATTTGTTACACAGTTAACTCTTTTTTTGAATTGACCATGAACAGTGGTCTTTCTCCTCCCACTTACTGCACTGTTTTAAACCATTACAAACTGAATGACCATACGTATACAATTCTCCCAATCTTTTTCTGAGGAAAATTTCTTGAGCAATATACTTGTTGCATGATTACCATGCATAGTCTAATGCACTTCTAATAAGCTTGTGTGTCTTTTCTGTCTTTTCAGGGGAAATAAAGTAGTATTTCTCTCTTTTTGTTGTTGTTGTCTCAAACAGATGAATCAAAACAGCCATATCATCCTATGTGGACAGATTTCACAGTATAATAAAGATGTGCCTTATCCTCCTCCATTGCCTCCAGCAATAGAAGAAATACAGAAAGCAAGGAATATCACAAGGTATATTTCTCCTTCCCCATCAGTTTCTTGGTGCACTGAACACAGAATTCACATTAGGGATATTAAGGACTAGTCGACTGTCCGATAAGCAAATGCTTATCGGATAGTCAGTTGACTAGTCGATTTCCCCCTCCCCCCCCTCCTTTCCCCATTGCTGTCTCTGATAGAGGCAGCAAAAGGGGGGGAGGGGGAGAAGGGAACTTCAAAGGGGCAGTGCTGCACACCTGAGCCTGGGATCAGCTGTGCGGTGCTGCCGTGTGTGGAGCCCGGGGTCAGCTGGGGACTCCCCAGCTGATCCTGGGCTCCAGCACAGAATTTCCATGGAACTTGGGATCACCTGGGGAGTCTCCAGCTGACTGCAGGTACTGGGGAAATGCTACATGAAATCACAGTCAGCTGGGGAGTCCCCAGCTGACCCCGGCTCTGTGTGGCATTTCAAATTGGCAGCATGTCATGGAGCCCAGGGTCCGTGGGAAACTCTACATTTCAAAGGAGGAATGCGGAAGTGCCTATCGACTATTCAAGTATTGACTGACTAGTAAATTAAATGCCTATTGACTTGACTAGTAAATTAACCGTTACTTAACATCCTTAATTCACGTATGTTGAATTTACATTTGATCTCGGGAGAGGGACTCTGCTCTCTAAGCATTTTTATGGTAACACTGGATTACTGAAATAGGAATTGGTAATTTTGTGTATTACATCTGTCTGTATTATGAACATTTGGTAAGAAGGCTACTAAGTGGACAGAAGGGACACTGAATTGTGACTTCAAGTGCTACTAACACTGCAGAATTAAATAATTTAATTGGCTAATATGCCACATCTGTGGTCACTTGGTTCATTTTTACCTGTCAGTCTTTTTAATATGGGGAGTGTGGTACTGTGGTTCTGTTACCAAATGTTCTGTATCAAGTGTCTTGCTCTGAGTGTAGTTGTGCATGAAGAGAAAAAAAATAAGTTGAACCCTTTTCAGAAGGTATTGTGATCTTTCACTTTTTAAAAAAATTACTCTGTAATGCTAATTTTCTTATTTAGGGACGAGGATATCCAATATGACTTTCTCAATAGGAACATGTAGATGGTATCATGACCTTTCGTAGGCACAGTCCACTTCTTCAGATGACCAGAGTGTTGGATGTCTAGTGTTGGATGTTTTTGACCTAAACATCCAACACTCCAGTCATCTGAAGAAGTGGGCTGTGCCCACAAAAGCTCATGATACCATCCACATGTTTTGTTAGTCTATAAAGTGCTACCAGATTATTTGTTGTTTTTTCAGTTTACCTGTACAGACTAACTCGGCTACCCCCTAAAGCAGTTAAGTTTGACAGTACTGGTCCAAATGCAAAACCCAACAGCACAACACTGGTTGTTACTCCTCTCACCCCCTCTCAGCTTTTAAGTACCTGGCAATGTTTTCATGATGATCTAAGGAACTCTTAATTATTTGAATGACCAGTCTTTTGTTATTCTTAATCACCTGCCTCCCTTATTTTTTTTTTTAATAACAAACTCCCTGCCCCAAAGGGACAGGGACAACTAATAAAATCACCAAAGCCCACTTGGAATGTGGCAAGGTGATAGGGAACACTCTATTGCAGTTAAAAGCCACCTTTGGAGCCAGGGCATGCAGCTTTAAGCAGACCTCAAGTATGAAATCCAGGGGTTCAAAGTTGGTACCTAACCCCCTCTAAATGGCACTCATGCGCATGTGGCTGTGCTTTAGCAAATCAGAATTGTGCAACTGTCAGTGGGGTGCTGAAAGCAGTGAGTAACTAAGCACTTCCGGCAATGGTGGTGGAATAAGAAGAATAAGAATATTTTCTAAAAAAACTAATTGAGTATGAGTTCATACTACAGAAAAATAAATTACTCGAGTAAAGTACAAATACTGAAAAAATGTACTTGAGTATTGTAACGAAATATTTCTACTTAGTTACTTTCCATCTCTGCTTAAAACAAGTGTGCTGAGTCATCATCTGAGACTGCTGTAACACGACATATATTGCAGAATGCAAATATAGCAGAGCAGGAGACATACAATTAAGGTATTTGGTCACAAATATAATTAATGCATTTTTTAAAAATGCATCCTCAGCATGGGAGCACATCCTCCTGAATCGTGGCTGAAGCATAAAGCGGCATACGAATGTTTAACATACCTCGTATGGAAATACCTTACAATGCTGGCTACACAAAAGTGCCATGCCAAACACCTGTTTTCACTTTCTGGTGACACAATAAATAAGAAGCAGGCAGCAGTATATCCTGTCAGTATAAACAAACTTGTTTGTGTTAGTGATTGGCAGAACAAGAAGTAGGACTGAGTAGACTTGTAGGCTCTAAAGTTTTACATGGTTTTGTTTTTGAATGCAGTTATGTAGCAAAAATATCTACATTTGTAAGTTACACTTTCATGATAGTGATTACACTATAGTATTTGCATGAGGTGAACTGAAAAATACTATTTATCATTTTTAGAGTGTTAATATTTATAATCAATTGGTATTCTGTTTAACAGCATGATTAAAACTGTGATTAATCAAGATTAATTTTTAAATAATGATTAATTTTTGTTAATTGCATGAGTTAACGGCAAGCAATTGACAGTCCTAATAGAAGGGCTTTAAACTAGGTTCGATGGGGACAGGTGAGCAAAGCCCACAGATAAGTGGAGAACACGGAGACCTGGGAGATGGGTTGGAAATGGGAGGGAGCGTGGGCTACAATAGCAGAGAGAAAGGAGGGTCAGGGCAAAACTGGGAGGCAAGGTCAAATCAGGATCTTAGATGCCTATATACAAATGCGAGAAGTATGGGAAATAAACAGGAAGAACTGGAAGTGCTAATAAATAAGTACAATTATGACATTGTTGGCATCACAGAAACTTGGTGGGATAATACATGAGATTGGAATGTTTGTATGGAAGGGTACAGCTTGCTCAGGAAGGACAGACAGGGAAAAAAGGAAGGAGGTGTTGCTTTATACATTTAAAATGAACACACTTGGAGTGAGGTGAAAATGGACATAGGAGACGGAAGTGTTGATAGTCTCTTGGGTTAGGCTAAAAGGGATTAAAAACAAAGGTGATATCATGCTAGGAGTCTACTACAGGCCACCTACCCAGGTGGAAGAAGTGGATGAGGCTTTTTTCAAACAACTAACAAAATCATCCAAAGCCCAAGATTTGGTGGT